ACATCTGGTGAAAATTTCATGTCATTAGCACCTCTAGTAATATATTTACTGAGAAAAATGGTGACGTGTTCAATACTTATTTTACCCACCGTATACACACCTTAACTGACCAAACTGACCTGCCAGGTAACTTACGTTGCGTCCCAGTTTCAGCAGAACTCAAAATTGTGTAGTTGGACTGACGTCAGTTCTGAGTTAAAAACGTTACAGTTTCAGAATGTCAGAAAAGAAAATCTWTTTGTTCAGGGTTTCCGCAGGGTTGTAAAAGGTAATAAAAGGTAGTAAATCGTAATAATCATAAATTAGAGCCATTAAAACAGTATTAAAAAGTAAAAAACTCTATCTGATGAAGTATTTTTTATACAACTAGCGCACTGCCAAGCTGTGCTGCAGGGACAAACTAATTTAACAGACATTTCTGTCCTTGAAATACTTGATTTGACTCTATTTTTTCTTGTTTCAAGAATCTTATCAAGTAACATTTTCTTACTCCATTGGCAGAAATTTTTGACTTAATTTGAGTCAAATTTTCAGACTAACAAGACAAATAATCATACACATTCTGAAAACAAGATTATTATTCTTAAACAATCAGTTCTTGTTTTGTAAATCAGTCTCAAAACAAGATCAAAAAGACTTTTTGGCTGGATATAAGATTTTAAAGCTTGGTTAGGTGGACATTTTTTRCAGTGTAATAGCACCACAACTTCATTCGCCAGTGTTATGAAACATATCTTTGTATTTGAAGTCAATTATTTGTTTGATTTTCATATTATGTGGGCAACAAAACTTTTGTCTTGCCAAAATCTGACATTTCTGTGTTCATTAAATGATCAATATTTCTGCAGTGAAGCACATTAACTTTTGTAAATTAAACCTCATTTGGGAGGATTTCAGCTTTCGTATGCATCATTTCTAAAACCAATGGATGTATTTAAAGTCAGGTTATAAGCTTTTGTTTCTACAACATGTATAAGCTACAGAACTTCTGTCAGGTATTATTGTACTTTATAGCAATTATTAGTCAATTTGGTGCTATTTGTACTCTCAAAATGCTGAATAAAACACTATTGTTGAGTTATTCCATCAGAGCAAATAGTAGAAAAGTTTTTTTCCAACATTCTAAGCTGGAAACTGGAACACTTTCAACTAAGAACTGATGTCAGTCGGCCCTCACAATTTAGAGTTCTGCTGCAAGTCCTCAACCCTCAGCATCTCCCCAAACCAGGTAACTAAAAACTAGTGTTGTAGTCAAGACCACCTAACACGAGACCAAGTCAAGACCATGACTTTTAGGGTTTGGACCAAGTTGAGACCAAGACCAAGGGAGGGCGAGACCGAGACAAGACCAAGACTTTTAGGGTTTGGACCAAGTTGAGACCAAGACCAAGGGAGGGCGAGACTGAGACAAGACCAAGACCAGAAAAAAGTCCCCTAAAAGATGGAGTATTGTGTACACATGTACAGTGGGGAAAAACAGTACTTTGTCTCTCATAGTTGAGGTCTAACTATGATGTCAATCACAGGCCTCTCTCATTTTTTAAGTGGGAGAACTTGAACAATTGGTGCTGGCTAAATACTATTTTCCCCACTGTAGCTAACTTAATATGTAGAGCTAATATTGACAAACTCTTTCTGTGAGGGCAGAGGAAAGAATTTTGCTACAGAGGCAGATTGTTAACGTTAGTGATGGTAAAAGTTTAAAGTTGTCCCCACTGTCTCTGAAAGTGAAGCACTGTCAGATTTACAAGTTGCTGTATGCTTTCTCCCGGTTGTTGTTGTTTTACAATGATATTATTTATGAATAATGTAGCCAAATTTTTTACTCAAGATTTTGAAGACATCCTTTACCGTTCCCAGAGAACCACGGTTCACTTTCTGGGAGTGCTGTGTGCAGGTGATGGGGGGTGTRGTTGGGTGACAGCTGCTAACAAAAAATACATAAATAGCAATGAGTCAGGTTTGATTTGAATCAKTAGCTACATTTTAAATTCAATGAAAGCAAGATTGTTAAAAAAATAAATTGGACAATAATCTGGCTGTTTAGTGATATTTCTGCAGTTGTGGTCTTGACTGGTCTTGAAATAAAATTCCGAGTCCTCAATGTCCAGACCGAGTACAAATGCTGTCGAGTCCGTGACAAGACCAAGACCATCAAAAAGTGGTCTTGAGACCGGTCTTAAGACCAAGACCGTTCTCAAGTACTACAACACTACTAAATACAGAAGAAACCTAATTAATACAACAGAACACATGTTCAACTGCACAACAAAATAATGTGGTGAGTGTGTGGACTGATTTTACTACTGTGTGGTTGAGGCCATTACAACCTTATGTGTCTGTCTTTAAATCTGTTTTTTCACATTGTCCTGTTAAAAGGCCCACAGTTTCAGCATAAACTTTGTTTCCTGACACATAATATCCTATTCTTCTATAAAGGCCTTGAGAATCTTTTTTTTTTGGATGGCCTCCCTTCTCCCCTTATAGCCATCCTCTCCACACCATTATGTTTCTTTTTTTTTTGTGAAGAGAAAATAGAGAGAGAGAGAAAAACAGAGAGAGAAGTAATTAGAAAGATAGAAAGACTGAAATAGCAATTAGAAGTATATTAAATATACA